AGGAGAGTTTGAGGAGCATCAGCAGAGGAAGTGACAAAGGGAGAGACAGAGAGGGGGAGGTTTCGGGAGAAAAAAGGTGCATTGCAGTTATTTTGTGCAGCACTAATTTAAGACCTCAGAACTTTGATTGAGGACAAAAGTATGTGGACACTTGGACATACACCAACATGTGATTGTGACACCATGTTCATTAATGTGCTGCTCTAACAACCTCCACAACCTGCTGCAGACATTTTAACTCATTCAGAGAGCAGAGCATCGGTGAGGTCAAACACTGATGAGGTCTAGTTCATCCCAGAGGTGTTGACTGGGTTGAGGTCAAGTTCTTCCACACCAAACTGGGGAAGCCATATCTTTATGGAGCTGATTTTTGCACAGGGAGGTGTGATGTTGAGACAAAAAGTGTGACACTACATCATACAATGTGTGGACAGGGAAAAGTCCAACGAGTTTTCCTCCCATTAAGCCTCCTAAAGACTGTGAGATTTTAGCAGTCTTGTAAGTTAAGTGCAGCTACACTGTGTGTCATGGATCTGATAAACTTGGGTACGACATCAAGTTTGATGTAGACAGACTGTACGATGACAGCACCTACTGAATCACAGGCTACGTCTTGCTATGCAATAGTTTACTATTCTGAGTGTGCAAGGATGCTGCACAGGTTATTACTTCTCCAACTGTGAAGCACAACATAGAGGGCCACATTATTAAATAACCCAAAGTTTTGTGGGCACTATATACTGCAGTGTGTCTGTGTATGTGTTTGCTAGCTGCTAGGTTGCTCAAGCAGCAGCTGCAACTCTGCAACTATTTCCTTCCATGCTTCGGCCCTCTTTACACGATCATGGTGATAGCTGGAGGACACATCATACAGGCAAGGCTTCTGCTGCCACAACTCCACAAGCTTTTACTCCCACATATTTCTTTTTTTTGCCTCCATGGCGGGCTGCCATCCATTGGTTTGTTTGGGTTTAACGCCAGTGCATCATTTCATGCTGCATTTCTATTAGTTGGTTAGTACATGTAGGTTGCAGCAGCAGTCAAGCAGTGAGAAGAAAAAGGCACAAAATGTATGAAACATCCAAAAAATCAAAATCGTTTTGTGTAGAAGATTTATTTTATTCTTATCCAGTTAAATAACTAATTTCTTTTTTTTTTTTTAAATACTTTTCTAAAAACATTCTCCCATGTGACCTGACATAGGTTTCATCAAATCATGACCTGACATTACCTTACCTTACATACGGTGCAAACATAGTATTTTGCAATAATTACTTTGGAATTTCTGCAGTATTTTCCTGTAATGGCTGCAGGAGATTGTTGTTTGCATAGTCCTATCCTATCCTTTATATATCGATCTGAAATGAAAAAAAAAAAAAAAGTGTTGTAAAGTAGCTACTGAATGTGTGCTCACAGTACGGCAAAGATTATGACATTAAATAAAATGTCAAAAAATATATATATATATATTGATAGTGAGAAGTAGAGAGGATAGACATGCAAGGAAATCAAATACCTTTTGTGAAACTACAAGAAAAGCATTATGCAGAAGCTCACAGTGGCTTATAGTGATGTGATCAAGTTGCTGCTTAAGGTTCCCAGATGGCAAATAATACCAGTCAACTGTTTGTGTCCTCTGGTGTTCCCACATCTGAGGCACTTCTCAGACATCTGATGAACAATTTTATGTGTTGCTTGGATGAGTCAGAGAACAGCATAATAATCTGCTTTCTGTTTGCTCTGGAGCCTCTTGTGAGTCTGAAATAAAGTTAATATAATAATAATTTATAATAATAATAATAATGATGATGAAATTATGAATCATTGTTTTTGTAGCGGAAAGCCAAGGCTTCTGTCTTCTGTGTCATGTTATACGCTTGTACTGACGTCATGTGCTACATTACGTGTGGTAACATGCAAAAACACGTGGTGGTGCCATAGGAACAAATGAACGCCTTTTTGCCCTGTTCATAAAAATGAGCATATCTCAAATCGTAAAAAAAATCTGATTTAAAATGTCAGATTTTTGTATTATTTTTTAATAACATCATTTTAATACTTCATCTTTTTTTTTTTTTTTAACTTTTAGCTTATGTTACAAGTACAGACACGTATAGATTTTAGGGATATGAAGTATTTAAAGATACTCTAACCTGCTTCACTGCTTCTTGCTAAAAGTGGATGTTTCTAATTGAAAAACCCAGAAAAGAACACAGATGAACCCGCCATTGAATCATCTTTTTTTGTCCCTTAGGGGAGTCCTGACACCTGACTCCGAAAAGTCTGGTCTAAAATATTATTGCATGCTGGAGAAATAAGATTTCTCGAAACCAAACAAACCAGGAAAACCAGACTCAGACCAGTTTGCAGAGCAGTTTACACTACTGGAAAGAAAGAAAATAGTTTGGTCCAACAGCTAACATGACTTTCTCCAAATTGTAACTGTAAATACAACTGGTCAAAGGCGTGACTTAGTTTGTCAAAGATCAATAAAGGTGCAAGTAAATCCACAATTTGAGGTCTGAAATTTCACCTTTTTAAGTGATAGTGTAGCTGAACCTTTAGGTCTTTATCTCCTCATGTCTCACCCCTCTTTCTTTTGTCTCCATCTCTCTCTCCCCATTAGCTCTAATACCAAAAGTCACTGTATATTAATGTATTGTTCGACCCGTGTGTGTGTGTGTGAGAGAGAGCTCGGTGGGGGAAAAAGGTTGCTATTTAAAAGACATTAAAATGCTGAAAGATGAATAGTGTCGGACATTTTTACGCACTGCAGGGCCCTCACCACACACACACACACACACACACACACACACACACACACACACACACACACAGCTGTCCTTGGAGTACACCTCTGAGCCCGGTGTTGACATCTCATTTTTAAAGAAGTACGTGTGTGTGTGTGTGTGTGTGTGTGTGTGGGGGGGGGGGTATAAAGGGCAGCAGTGGGAGGTTGGTACCTTATGGCTGAGAAGTCCTTTTTCACATTACCGTGACACACACACAGACACACACACACACACACACACACACACACACACTTCTCCGACCTTGCATTAGTGTGTGTGTGTGTGTGTGTGTGTGTGTGTGTGTGTGAGAGAGAGTCTTATTGTGTCTCATTGCCATTTAGAGTAAACAGGCACTTTTCGGTGAACAAAGAGTGTGTGTGTATGTGTTTGTTAATTAATACTGATGACATCGCCATCAGTCGTCTGCCATCAGCAGCAGAACAGACAGAGTGACCTTTACCCCTCTGTTCTCTCTACTTTGTATATTTCACTTTTCCTCTTTCTCTCCTCTGTTTTTTGTTTCCTTATTTTCATTTACCATTATTGTTTTGTTTTCAGTCTTTACTTTCTTCCTTTCTTTACTCTCTCTTTTATTACTCCCTCCTGCCTTCATGATTTTAAACTGCTTTTATAATCATCCTACGACACAAACGCTGTCTGCCATATCAAAGCATTACCATCCTTTCCCATTTCCTTTTACCTTTCTGTCCTCCTGCCTAATGTTCCCTTGTCCCTTTGCATGTAATACTGTATAAACATTAATGACTATGTCTATGAGTATATTACTGTGTTAATGACATTGTGGAAACGTGAACATAGACTGTTTAAAATAATGAATGTAGCCACTGAGATGTCACCCACTGGTTTGTGGACTCTTGATTTGGAGCCTTGAGTTTGGCATTTGGACGTCAACATCGTGGATTTTTTTTAGCCAAAAGTGAATATATTTTGACAAGAGAGGAAATAACCCTTAGGCTAGCTGCTAAGTCAGGCCCCCAGGAACACTGCTCAGCATTGCTTCCAATTTTTCCCAGTGGCCACTTGCGGTATCTAGTGAAATAATCCCCCGTAGCCCAAAAAGCATTTTCCCCATTGACCACCATTATAAGTCTGTAAAACTACTGATAGGATCCCTCAAACTGCAAACAAGGTCAATTAGAATCTTTATTAAATTTCGCTCCATATTAAGTTTATATTTGTAAAACTTTCCTCAAGCTGAGAAAAGCGATTTAAAAATCTGTGATGTCATCACAATGTGAGGCTCATGAGCCAAGCAGGGATTCATTTTTGGTGTATGCATGCGGCAAGCAACTCCACTGGAATACATAGGTGCCATCTTGAGGTCCACTATCTAGGTTCTACTTATATATCTATGTGCTAGCTTGATTAGCATTGTGTATTTACAGTCTATTGTTATCTGTGATCATCCTAATACAGATTTTTGCTAGCGAAAAACAGGCTTAAAAGCATTAAAACAAAATGTACTGGAAAAACATCAAACTCCTTAGAGGGTCCTTTAGTCCAATCAAACACTTAACATGATTTTTTTAGGTGACCAAACTCCTCCAATTAATTTTCATGAACTGAAAACACACTGAAATAGTATATATATATATATATATATATATACAGTACAGGCCAAAAGTTTGGACANTATATATGCCATTGTCATATTACCAAACAAATGTCGCCATGGTAGTGACTTGAAAACACCAACCTGTCACTCAGAGCAGCCACACCATTAATTATGCGTAATTTTAAGCCTTAATGAAATGTCAAAAGGTGAGTTACATAAAAATTCAGCCCCTGTACAGTTGTCATGGATGTTGAAATCAGTTTTAGAGACCAAAACTGTTTTTCGTATCAGGCTGTAAACTTGTTTATTTCTGCTGTAAATTTGGGCATTTTAACATGGGTGTCTATAGGGATTGACTCACTCTTGTAGCCAGCCTCAAGTGGACATTAGAAGAACTGCAGTTTTTAGCACTTCACTGTTTCATTTTTCAACCTCAGAGGTTACCGCTTAGACAAAAATCTGTTCACACGGTTGCATTATGGGGACATACTTCTTTCTTTGTGACGTAAACCATTCAATTTAACAGTTGTGACTCAGAGCATGGAGTGATTATGGTAAAGCTGAGTCAATGCACTGCTCAAAACACAAATGTGTATGTGTGCGTGTGTGTGTGTGTCTGTGTGTTTTCCTACTTTGGGTGTGTGAACTGGTCCACCAGTGACACTTTCTCCACTAGGTCTCCTCCGATGGAGCGCACCAGATCGTAGAAGTCATTCTCTGTGAAGGTCTCTTCCCCGTCCTCCCTCTCTCTGCTGTCCGGCAGCCAGAAGGAGATGTCATTGTAGAGGGGAGGATACTTACTGAGGGGCTGAGAAGACAAACACACACAAGGACAATAATTAACATTGGTTAGCTTTAAAAGCTGATCTAGGTGTCAGTTGTGGACTAAGTACATTTACTCAAGTACTGTGCAAGTACAACTCTGGGGTATTTGTATTTTACCTGAGTATTTCTGTTTTCCATTTTCTGAGTTAATACTGTACTTTTTACTGCACTACATTCATTTAACAGCTTAAGTTATTTTCAGGTCAAGATTTTACCTGTTAAACATATCATCAGTTTAAAAGTCGAATGCATTCTTAAAAATTACACTACTACAGTATATTAAATAGTTAAAAGTAACCCTACCCCTAATGCAGCTTACATAAATGCATCAAGAATAACATTCCAATTATATATACATAC